GACACTATTTGCCAGTGCTAGGAAGAATGGCAGCAGCACCTTGCCTGTTAGCTTTTGATCTGGTGTAAGTAGCTTTGCCCACCCTTCAGAGAGCTGGTTCTGCACTCCCCCCCCCCCCATGTACCTCTTCAACTATACTGGGAGGGCTAAGACCTAGTATGCCTCCCTCAGAGAAGGTGCTGGCAAGCTGCAGCTTCAGGTGCAGCCGGGGCTATCACCAGAGCCTGGGCACTGGTCCTTGGGAGGGAATTCATGCCTGCAGCAGCTAACAATATGGTCTTTTTAAGAAAACATATAAACAGAATGCATTACTTGGCAAGGAATAATCTAAGAATTAGACTAAGTCCTTGCAGCAGAAAGGGATTTCCTAAACCCATTATTCCTGGGAACTTTCCAGTGACCCTGAATCCTGCCCTGAACCCAGCCTCCCTTCTCTGCAGCCTACCTACCTGGGTAATTCTTGCACAGCATATGACATCACTCCTGCCACTGGAGCCAAGACTAAGAGGTGTGACGAGATAGCAGGAGAATGAGCACCTATAGATTCCCAGAGCCCCCAGGGTTCATTGTACAGGCCCCACATTGCCCACCAGGATGTCACAGGACTAACTTCTTAAACAGAGATGCCATCAGCTGGCTCTAGACCCCTAACATGGCACCAGGCTGTTCCCACCTCAGTGATACCTATATTCAGGATATGCAACAAAGCCAGCCCTTAGGTTATATAACCTATGGCCTGTACAGGGCTTCCTGAAGGTTCTCAGGGATCCAGATGAGAGAAACACTCAGGACTATCCTAGTCTGTGGGAACAAGGCAGCAACAAAGGCTTGCCTTTCCTATTCCACTGAGCAGTGTATTTTTAATGCAAAATATGTTTCCTGAAAGCACATTTGGATTCCCCTGTCTCTGAGGAGCAAAGGGGCCCTCTAGGCCACAGTGGGAACCCATAGCAGGGACCACTGGCTATGCTGGGAGTACCCCCATTTCTCTTCTGCTGGCCTGAGGAGTAGCCACCCCTCCACCCTATTGCTCCCTCACATCAATACCCTACGCTTGTGTTTCCGCCAGCCCTATTTCCTAGTCCAGTTGTAGTTCATCCTCTTCTTAAGGCTGTGTCTCTGCCATGACCACGTCCTGTATCATATTGTACTCCTCTCTGCAGCTCTACCACCCTCAGTCTAGAAGCAGATGCACTCAGACCCCTCCTAGCCCTGTGTCAGCCTTCCTGCCTCCTCCAAGGGCTCGCCATAGCTTCTCTCTGTGCTCAGACTCCTGCTGTGGCCTGCCTTTGTTCTGGCTGGAATCGCCACTGGGAGCTTCCACCTGTTGTGGTCGATCCCTCCTGTACTTCCCTTAAGAATCCATACTAATTGTCTGTCTAAATGTCTAGATGCTCACCAGCTTCAGGTATGCAGAGGTCTCTGACGTAGCCATGTCTACCTGGCTTTTCTTCAACATGGCACAAAGCACACTGAAGAGGCTTGTGTGCCATTTACAAGTGATCACTGGGTGGTGATGCCACTCCAGTACCGATGCCAGTGACCCATCGAAAATGTTGGGAGACGGCTTGGCCTAGGGTCTCCCGCACAGCTTTGGGCTGGGTGATCCTTTGGAACCTGGTATCTCCCTTGTGGATGTGAGCTTGCTGCCCAGTAGATGCCCCTTGGTAGCCCCTGTTGTCGACCCCGGCTATGCAGAACGGTGTGCAGGCTGCAGTGGTCCTTTGCCCTCTGGAATCAACTGCAGGTGGCCAAACTTCACCAGCTGGTGGTAAACACAAACTGAGGTACTTCTCGGCAAGTGCGTGCTGGCTGTGGACGTGGCGCGCAGAGAGGGCACAACTTTGATTCTCATGTGGCAGTTTAACTATTAGAGAGCTGGTAGAGGACTGAACAGCCCTATTCTTTCATTGTGAACTTAGAGCTGTTTTATGTAATTTCCATTGCTAGCCGAAAGTTTAAAAAATCAAATAGATATTTGCTTAATATCGTTTTTACTGATATGGGCTGGGCAGGATAAATGTAATTCCCAACCTGGTAGATGTCAGATATGCTGAATTTGTATTCCCCTAAATCAAAGAATGAGTTCTAAGGAACAATGGAGGTTAAAAAAATTCTAAGAAAAAGTTTATTGAGAGCTTCTGAGGGGACCTGAAAACAGATTGCCAATGAGCAGTTTCTCAAAGGAAGTATTGTAAAGCAAAATCACAAGGTGTGTACAATGTAATTCAAAACTATTATCAACCAATAAGATTATGAGTGTAGCTGCTTAGGAAATATTGATCCAGAGGGGAAGCAGGTTATGTAGAAAGTGTCCATGGAAAGGGCAAGGACCTTTTTAGGAAGAGATGGCTCAGGAGGTCCTGGTCGCCTACCTGGGTAACTAATGTCTAGCTAGACTTTATCAGACCAGGTGATACCAATGATAGTATAATCTTCAATTTGTTGCTTATCCCCTGGGGAGGCCTGTGGGCCTGGTCATTCTGTATTTACCCTGAGGCCTGGCCTTCAGTAGATGCGCCTCCAGGCACAGTTGCAATGCGTTCCCATCCTTGGCTCTGAGTTCCTTAAGGGCCTAGCCCTGCTGATGGCCTATAATATTTCTGCCTAACTTAGCTATCTATAATATACTCCTATAGGCCAAAATGATCTCATAGGAGATAAGAATGTATTTTTCTGAAAGACATCCTGCCTAAGGTTTGGAGCCATACCTGCTTACCTAGGGTAGGAGCTCTCCTAAACCAGACTGCTAGGCCTAGGAGGAGAGTAACTCAGATCGTTATGAACCAGCTCCTGGCAGGTTGCTGGGCTGGCCCTGGTCCTAAGAGATCATGTGCACCTTGGATACCTGTGCCCTTCCATACAGGGGGTAAAGAGATGTTGGGAAGGACCCCACAGATGGAGTCTAGGTTCTTTTTCTGCAGTGGAAGCCCAAGTGTGTGGCTGTCATTATCATAGCTCAGGTGTGCCCATATATGATGTATTCATTTGTGTGTGTCAGCACAGGATCACTTCTGTTTTTCTAAAAGGACTTTTTAACATTGCATTTAAAACTTGAGTTGGTAGAATTGAGTTGAGTTGGTATAGTTTGCCTTTAATAGAGTTTTGAACTTTGTGGAGAGCGTTTGTGACAATTGGGGTAGGGGGACATTTCTAGTTCCTGGGATGAGTCAAGCAGGCCAACTGCACACGTGTGCATCAGGGCATCTAATCACTGCTTGGCTTTGTGCAAAGTAAATGGACTGTAAAAATTATGTGATTCAACTTCACAGAAAATGGCCTTCTGCCGCTGTCACCAGTGCCTGGGCGCTGGGTCTCAATAACGTGTTTTGGTTGCTGTCTGAACAAGAAGAAATCAGGAATTCTATTGCCCACACAACAGGTGGGCTCTCTTGGTACACCAAGGAAGAAATTCCAGGAGGAAAAACAGGCCTTCAGGGGCCAGTAGGAATGTGCTGGGCCACTCTTCTAGTGCTTTCGTGTAGCGACTAATAATGAAATAAATCTTAGATGGCATGTTAAAAATAGTATTTGGAGTATTTTTGTTTTGTTTTGTTTTCTTCTTTCAAAAGAACAGAATCCCTTCTGTAGTAGCTGAGCCGGAAGGGCTGGCCTGGAGGTTTTCTGCATGAGTGGTCACGACTTCCCTGGACTGAAAGGAAAGGGAAAGGCTGGCTTAGCCCATACTCAGTCCCTGATCACTTCTTTAAAACTTATGAATGAGGCACCGCCAAGGGAGAGGGTGTAGGGGAAAGGGGGAGGCTGGAGCTGCTGGCCTTGCAGGGCTCTGGGGACCATCCTGTGCTTATCCTTTAGGAGTCGCCTAAAGTGGTAAGATAAAGCAGGGGTTTTGTTTTGTTTTGTTTTGTTTTGTTTTTGTTTTTTAATGTTTCCAGCAGATGCCTTCAGGAGACAGAGCCATGAATTTCCTGAACCGCTTCTTGAAGGAGCCACAATGGCAGTCTGCCTGCCGGAGCCTTCTCCTTTCACAGCAGGGTTTAAGCCACTTAAGCGCATTAGCATTTGGATGGGGCCAGGACCTCCGTGGGACCCAGGGCGGGCAGGGTGGCCAAGCTTGGCTGGGTTGTTTGGGTGTGTGTCCTAATCCTCTCACTGTTCAAGGCGGCCAGACTGATTTGTGACACAGGGGTCCAAAAGCCACTGCGGAGGTGTGACCCCGTTAGCTGATCTTGCCCTGAATACCAATGGCCTCTCCTGGGCCGGCTTGCAGACTGGCAGCCCTGCTGGGATGCTGTACACACCAGCGTGCCCCTCATCCACAGCACCTCTAAGACAGGTGCTGTATCCTCACAGGGTAGCCGCTGGGCTGGGCTGGGCTGCGCTGTCAAGGGGGTTGTGAGGCTCACGGCCAGTGGGTGTCTGTCACTGCAGGCCTAAGGCCCACATAGGTCTCCTGGATCCAGGCCCTCCTATCAATGGAGCTAGTGCCTTCAGTAGAGACTTTATAAAGTTAGTTACTTTTGTTGCAGTGGTCTTTCTTTTTAAGTAAAAGTTAGGTATTCTATATTTTAAAGACAAATTTACTGGAGTTTAATTTACATATAAATCACAACCTAGTTATAGGCTTCCCTTTAAAAGATTTCCTGTGGCTTCAAGTGGGAGAAGCTCAGGGCAGCAGATTAGGAACAAGAAGGAGCTGGACCTGCCCAAGCGGGACACTGCTGGCCAGCCTTTGTTCTCACATGGAAGCATTCTGATCTGTGTTGGGGCATCTACACCCAGCCAGCGCTCTGGCACCATGGGCCACTGCACTGGAGGGAGTAATCTAGGGAGGGCTGGTGGGACGGGGCACTTCTGCATGGGGTGTGAAGTGCTTCTGGGAAGGCAACTCCAGGCTACCTTCCCTTTCAGTTGGAGAGGCCAGGAGTTCACTTAATGGTCGTCACAGGTTAGGACATGCGGCTTTGGCTGACACTGCCTAGTACTCCAAGCAGGTCAGCTTTCTTCTGGGACTGAATTTTCTCTGTGTTTTTCCACAGACTCTCTGCACAAAGGCCACCATGCAGACAGTCCGGGCTGCTGACACCAATGAAGTGGTGAAATTGATATTTCGGGAGTCAGACAATGACCGTAAGGTAAGTGGCTTATGACCATGAGCCAGTGAGAACTGGCCATACGCAGCCTGAAGAATGAGGCCCTGCAGTTATCCCAGAGCCGGGAGACGTAAGGGTGGGAGAGGGGGATCAGCTCATGCGCACACAGGTGCCCACCCACGGGGCACTGAGGCCGCTCTGTTTTGGCAGGTTGTGCTCCAGTTGGAAAAGAAGCTCTTTGACTACTTCAACCAGGAAGTCTTCCGGGACAACAATGGCACTGCGGTGAGTTTTATTTTCAGATGTGTGGCCACTTAACCTGGGACTCTTCTCCTTTGCTTCTCCTTATGACGAACCACCCAGGTTCCTTCCATGGGCTCAAGGCTGAATTGATGGGGGCAGTTTGTGGGATTCACCCAGCACCCAGGCTGGGCTAGGTGGCCTGGGTTGTGTTCCTGTTAACAGCATGTCACTGTCAGCATTTGAAAGTCCTACATGGGAAAGGTGAGATGCGGGGTGCCTTTTAGTGGGAAAGTCCTTGTTAGATGGGCAGTGGGCATACAGTTTCCTTTTGAATGGGGAAAAGCCGCACATGGACATGGTGATGGATATGTACCAAGTCCTCACACACCTGCTGCTCTCCTTGCTGTGTGCATGTGTACATATGCATGTACATGGATACCAGAATGTAAGTTTGTGTTGTGCGTATTATATGAGTTCCTGTGTTTGGTGGGTGGGTGTGAATGTATATGTGAACATGAGTGTGAATTGAACTGAACGCTAAAAGGAATATGCAGCTCCAGTCACTCAGGAGTGTGACTACTGCCAGCAGCAACCCCAGCCGTGGGACTGTGCCCTCAGTCCTGAGCCCCTGGCCTTCCGTGGGAAGCTGCATGCAGTCCTGCTGTGAGATGGCCTGCCCACAGTCTCTTAAGCTGTTATTTTTATTGTGATATCATTGTATACCATTTTAATTGAATTTATGCTACAGATACTTGTTGGAAACTTCAAAAGCAAGTAGCTGTTCTGGTAAATGTGACTCGGTGTCTGGTGAGGCATTCCCCTTCAGGCATCTTCCAGTTTCTATCACACAAACACCCTGCGCCAACGTCCTGGGAGATTCCAGGCTACAGTGTGATAGCAGTGTTTAATAGCAGTGCCCAAGGAGGCACGCTTTTTTTTCTCTTAATATTTTTTAAGTTTATTACAGTTTAGATAGACATAGTGATCATAATTGTCATAGGGAGCTTGGACCTGTACATGGTATGACTTAGTTCCTCTTTCCTTTTTTTTTTTTTTTTTTTAAACATTCTTGAAAAGTACAGGATTGGTTCTTGAGTGGTCATAGCCCCACTTGTGGCCCCCACAAGAGCTGCCCTAGGCAGGGTGCAGGGGTGCTGTGAGGAATATAATAGGAATGAGAGGGTACGGGTGCCAGGGCAGACCCAGGCTTTATGGCCAGACGTATGGGAGAGAGACACGATGTACTTTTTTTTTTTTTTTTTTTTTTTCTTGCAGAACCAGGGATTGAACTCAGGCCCCTTGTGCTTGCCGGGGAAGCACTTATTCCACTGAGCCATCTCCCTGGCCCCAACACTTGCATTTTTGAAAGCACCTAAAACCAATGCCACATGGATGATGCCAAGGTCTGCTGCCAATAGGAGCAGCACCCAGGCTTTCTTCTCTCTTGGCAGTAGGGGTGGAGTGCCTGGATTGCTGAGCAGTGTGAACCTGATTCTGAGGAACAAATTCGCTATGTCAGTGCCATTCTGGAACATGGTGTGGCCACTACTGCCATTCTGAAATGTGGGGCTCTGCAGCTTTCTCCTCAAAGCAAAGTCCCTCATCCTTGCAGTTTTGAGGCTTCAAAGAGCAGAGACCTGCACCTTCCCGTGATACCTTCAGGCCATCCTCTCCATTCTCAGCGATGGAAATGCTCTCAGCTCTAGCTTCGCAGTCCACAGCCTTATTGGCACTTCTTTTCTGGCCAAACTCACATTTCAAATCGCCTGCTGAATTCTTTGCTCTTGATTCTCAACATACATCTGACTAAAAACCCCCAACAATAACCATGTCTCTGCCTCAACATTCAATTTAAAATTTCTTCTGCCAGATTAACCAGTCTGCTGCATTCAATCTCAGTCTCAGGCAAAGCTCTGGACACAAACAAAATTCAGACAAACTTTCTGCCTAGCCACAACACACATCAACTGGAGTCCAACAACCAATGCAGTCTTTCTTCCCAGTAGAAACCTCTCCAGCCTGGTCTTTACAGGAAGGCTTTCTATCAGCCTTCTGGTCTTCTGAGCTTCCAGAATCTTCCATACAGAACAGCTGAAAGTGTTCCAGTGCTTCTTT